ATAATGAGAATACTGATAGTAGTAATAGTAGCAGTAGCAATAGTAGTGTTAGTGGTAGTAGTAGTACTTGTTATAGTGATTGTGATAACAGTGTAATAATTATAATGTTGGTGAAGATGATGATGATGATAGTGATGAAGATGATGACAGTGATGATGATAGTGATAATGATAGCAACAATAACAATGCCTATGATAGCAACGGCAACGACAATAATAATAACGCAAAACGAAACGAAAGGGGAAGTAGAGAAAAAGAGGTAGCCGAGTGTCATTAAGTCGACGATATTTAAGCGTGGGGGGGGGGGGTAATTACGCCTGTGGGAGGGTAATTAGCCCCTCTCCCCCCCTCCCCCCCCTTTTTTTTTCTTGGGAGATTATGGTAATTGTTCCCGAGCGCTGCGGAGAGTTTCGGCGGGGGCGCATTGGGGTGGAGGGGGGGGGAGGGGGGAGTGAAAAGGAATGGTAAGGGGAGGGGAGAGGGAGGGAGGGGGTTGGTGGTAGAGCGGGAGGTTTGAGGTGGAATGGGGGGGGGTGGAAGGGAAGAGGGAGGGGGTAGTGGTTGAGGGGGAGGGGGGAAGGGGAGAGGGTAGGGGTGATGTTATGATGTGGATGGGGGGAGTGGGAGGAGGCGGGGGCGGAGGTGGAGAGGGAGTAGGTGGTGGGGGGAGGGAGGGTGGAGGGGAGGTGGAGGGTGGTGGTGGGGGGAGAAGGAGGAGGGGGGGAGGTGGCAGTGTTGGTGGTGGTGGAGGAAGGTGAAGTGGAAGTGGAGGCGGAGGTGGAGGTGAGTTGATGGTGGAGGTTGTGTGGAGGAGGGGGTGGGGAGGAGGGGGTGGCAGAGGTGGGAAATCGGGAAGGCTGTAATAGGAACGATAACGATGGTGATGGTGATGGTGATGATGACGATAGTGTCTGCTTCACGAGGATAGTAGATCTCCGTATCCCCCGCCCCCCCTTCCCCTCCCGCTCCCTCAAATCACTCTTCAGAGTAATTAGCCTTCCCTCAACCATTAATTGGGGTTAGATCTGTTTATTGACTTTATTCATTTATGTATCTATTTATCGGACTTTTTGGCGTTCTTTGGTTTGATTATTGATATCTTATTAAATGAATTGTATTTTGTATATATATGTATATATATATATATATATATATATATATATATATATATATATATATATATATATATTTTTTTTTTTTTGGGGGGGGGGTAAATTTTATATGTATTTTTTATTATATATGTATGTTTTTTATTTTTTATTTTTTTTTTATTTTGATATATTTTTATGCATTTATTTTTGTGGTTGTTGGTTGTTGGGTAAATGAGCCTCATTATTACCGTGATTGTTTTTATTGTTATTTTATTTTTGCTGGTTATTGTTTTGGTTATTATTCTCCTTATTACTGTTGCTGGTTTTTGTTACTGTTGTTGTGGTTGTAAGCATTGAGGTATCCTTGTTATTTGTACGTTTATTTGTTGCGTCATTTAGTTATTATTTTTACTAATTATTATTATTGTTTTTTCCACACTGTTGTTGTTGTTCTTGATATTGTTATTTTTTGTTATTTATAGATTTTACACTACGACCTGAAACCTTATTGCTATTGCTTACTGCCATATCTATTACCGGCATAGTGCGTGTCTGTATGTAAGTGTATTATTACGTATGTGGGCATTATTGTGTAGGCAGTATCCTTTCTCTCCTTTAAAAAAAAAATAAATGATTATATTTTTTTCCCTTTTTTCTCTTTTTTTTTCTTCTTTTTTCTTCTTTTTTCTTCATCATCATCATCATATTCTTCTTCTTCTTCTTCTTCTTCTTTTTCTTTTCTTTTTTCTTTTCTTCATCATCATCATCATCTTCTTCTTTTCTTCATCATCATCATCTTTTTATTCTTCTTTTTTCTTCATCATCATCATCATCATCATCTTTTTTCTTCATCTTCTTCGTTTTTACGCATTCCCGTATTTTCGTCCCCAAACGACTTGACGGAAGTTCGTAAGCGTGTCGTGACGGGGGAGAAAGCCTCTTCTCCGGCTTTTGTAACGGAGCTAAAAGGACATTTTTGGAAACGTTTCCTACAGCTGACCAGGGTGGGCGATGAGGGGGGGGGGGAAGGGTAGAACGTTTTCGTAAGAAGGTTTCTGGTGATGTCAAGAGGACGGTGGGGGGTTTTGCTGGGATATCATCTCTCTTTCTCTTATTTTCTCTTACTCTTTCTTTCTTTCTTTCTTTCTCTTACTCTTTCTCTTCCTCTCTCTCTTTCTCTCTTTCTTTCTTTCTTTCTTTCTTTCTTTCTCTTCCTTTCTCTATTCCTCTCTCTCCCTCTCTCCCTCTCCCCCTCTCCCTGTCCCTGTCCCTCCCTCCCTCCCTCCCTCCCTCCCTCTCCCGCTCCCTCTCTTCCTCTCCCTCTCCCTCTCTTCCTCTCTCTCTCTCTCTCTCTCTCTCTCTCTCTCTCTCTCTCTCTCTCTCTCTCTCTCTCTCTCTCTCTCTCTCTCTCTCTCTCTCTCTCTCTCTCCCTCTCTCCCTCTCTCCCTCTCTCCCTCTCTCCCTCTCTCCCTGCATTAAAAGAAATAAGGAGAGAAAAATAAGGAAAGAAAGAAAGGAAGAAGGAAAGAAAGAATGAAAGAAAGAAAGAATGAAAGAAAGAAAGAATGAAAGAAAGAAAGAATGAAAGAAAGAAAGAAAGACAGAAAAAGAAAGAAAGAAAGAAAGAAAGAAGAGAGGGAAGGGGGTCTCTCCTAACGCATCCTTTTATGGGAGCCGAGAAGCTAGGTTTCGAGGGAGAGGAAGCACCCGGCAGGCGAGGAGGTGACTGGCTGAATATTTACAGTATTGCAGGTTCTATAAAGGAAAAAAAATGTATAGTTTGTTCGAGCGTTAAAGTTTGATCGTTAAGGAACAGATAACAGTTTGGCTTAGTTCTTTTTTTTATTTTTTATTTTTATTTTAGGACAAAAGGTGGTGGTGGTGGGGGGAAGGGGGGAAGCGTCCTGACCATGAACACAGACTCGCACGAAAAGTAGATTTAATTACGTTTTTTTTTTTTTTTTTTTTTTTTTTTTTTTTTTTAGACGTTTTTTTTTTTTTTTTTTTTTTTTTTTTATCGAGTGTCTTGCAACGTTCGGGGTTGCAGTTGGTACATCGGTTGGCTGGCGGGGAGCGAGTGTGCTTTGGGCGACTTCTGTTGGCAATACTTTTAATTGTTGGTAATACTTTTTTATTATTATGGTGTAACTATTGTTGTTATTGTTTTTTGTTGTTGTTATCGGTATTTTTGTTGTTGTTATAGGTAATTTTGTTATCGGTATTTTTGTTGTTGTTATAGGTAATTTTGTTGTTATCGGTATTTTGCTGTTATTATTGTGATTATTTGATGATGATTTACATCATTATTTTCATTATCATCTTCAATGTTATAACAGCTTTTGTTGTTTTATTATTTATATAACTGTTATTATTTTTGCTAAGGGATGTCATGAACATTTATAATTATCGACTATTTGGTAGTATCGACTATTGGTAGTAAATATATGCATATTCCCCATTATTATTATTTTGTTCTAGCGTCTTTTTAAATACACGAACATGACGGGATTCCTATGTAGTCGGAAGAGCCGGAGGAATATGGCAGTCATAGGTCCTCCGGAGCATCTGGTTCGAAGGGCGTGAGATGAGGAAGTTGAAAAATAGGAAGAAAAGGAGAAAGAAAACAAAACAAAAACAAAAACACAAAAAAATAAGATGAATTGCCGATATGATTATGGTATTTTTTTTTTCTTTATTTTGATTATTTGTAGTAGTTCCGTGTAATTTTTTTTTTTTTTTTTTTTTTTTTTTTTTTTACAGTATTTGATTAACTTTCGGGTTATGCATATATGCATTTATTTATTTCGTCGTGTCGTGATTCTGTTCAGTTTCTCGGGAGGGGAGGAAGGAAAGGAAAGGGGGAGGGGGAGGAAAGGAAAAGGAAAATGGGAAAGGGGAAGGAAAGGAAAAAGAAAGGGGGCGGGGGGGAGAAGGAAAGGAAAGGGGGCAGGGGGGGAAGGAAAAGGAAAATGGGAAGGGGGAAGAAAAGGAAAAGGAAAAGGGGAAGCGGGGAAGAAAAGGAAAAGGAAAAGGGGGAGTGGGAAGAAAAGGAAAAGGAAAAGAGGAAAGGGGGGAGAAAAGGAAAAGCAGGGGTAAGGAAAGGAAAAGGAAATATGTGGCACTCTTCGAAATAATGGAACGTCCGCCGTAAATCCCTCGTTCGCCATTACGTCGTCGATCTACAATTATCGCGCTGAGTAATGAGCGCTTCGTGGCGGTGTTCATTCTGGCCCGCTGCCGCCCCTCCTCCGCGTACAGCACGGGGATTGGTGGCGTGGGTGTAGGTGGAAGGGAAGGAGGAGGGCGGGATTTTCGTCGGGGTTTGCTGGTTTGTCTGGGTGGCAGGAGGATCAGGGAAGAAGGAGGAGGAAAGGGAGGAGGGAGGAGGAGGAGGGAGAGAGGGGAGGAGAAGGGAGAGGGAGAGGGAGGGGAGGAGGAGGAGGAAGAAGAAGCAGAAGCAGGAGCAGGAGAGGGAGAGGGAGAGGGAGAGGGAGAGGAAGAGGAAGAAGAAGGAGGAGAAGGAGAGGGAGAGGGAAAAGGAGAGGGAGAAGGAGGAGGAGAAGGAGAGGGAGAGGGAGAGGGAGAGGTAGAAGTAGAAGCTACGGAGGGATGGTTGTGAGATTATGGTTGGGCTGCCGATGATGCTGCATCCATGTGAAGTTCTTGGGTTGAAATTAGAGGATTTTATGTGGGGGGAGTATGTATGTGTGTGGTGTGTGTAGGAGGTGTATGTGGGGTATGCATATATGCGTGCGTCTGTATCTGTTAGTACATGCACGCCCGCACAGCTCGAGTTATTCTTCGAACCCGTCTTAATATATTTACGATTCAGTTTTCTCCTCCTAAACACCATGCATCAATCATCTGCATATTCTAACAATTAAACGATTTTTTTTCCCCTTCCAGTTC